TTCAAGCAGAGAAGTGTCTTTGATGCTATTTTTTTGGGCTTTAGTGACACCTCAAACATCTTAAAAGTTGTATCCTTCTATAAAACGGCAAAAACAACATCTAGAAATGGTTTTAAATTACAAAATAATTTATTCACAAGTACATTTATGTAAATAGTTCTGAAACACGCCGTGAGCTAGGCCTACTCTCTCCTTAATTTCCCTCGATCGGGACACCAACCGAACTATTGCGATTGCGACACAAACTCTTTTTGAGTGTGAGCTTCCTGGACTTCTCACCGGCGACATGTTCTCTCATAGAACCGTTAGCTTTTTCTTATATGCCTACAGTCTATGCTCATCTCCCATCAAAAGTGGCACTGCCCCCTAGTGGCTCAATTTGTTACTACATACTCTGTCTAGAAGCCCATATTTACGGACAAGCTTTAGCAGATCGTCCCCCAGACACTCTCGTTGAAAAACATAAAAGACGTCTATAGACGTCTTTGGCAGCCAATGGTTGTATTTGAATTGACGTCTATAGACGTTTTTGGCAGCCAGTGAGTTAATGGCGGCTCTCCTCCAGGTGGGATACAGCATTCGCTTCGAGGACTGCACCTCGGAGAGGACCATCCTGAAGTACATGACGGACGGCATGCTGCTCAGGGAGTTCCTCACCGAGCCCGACCTGGCCAGCTACAGGTCAGGACGCTCAACTGGTTCTGATTCTGTCCTTTATTTCAGCCTCTGATTGGTTGAACTCAGTAATGTGAGGAAGTTTTTAATATGTGAAGGGTGGTTTCAGATGGAAGTTTCTTCCTCATAAATAAGTAAAACTAAAGTATAAAAAAGGGTCAAAGCTGGGTTTGTCATGATTAACGTCTGGCCTCCTCCCTTATTTATGATCTTTTTTTTAAAAATTGGTTATGTTTATTCTTATTTTTATTTCTTATCTTTATTATTTATTTATGATCTTTTATATATTTTAATTTGTTATATTTATTCTTATTTTTATTTCTTATCTTTATTATTTATGTATTATCTTGTATATATTTTATTTGGTTATATTTATTATTATTTTAATTTATTATCCTTATTATTTATTTATTATCTTGTATATATTTTAATTTGTTATATTTCTTCTTATTTGTATTTATTATCTTTATTATTCATTAATTTATATCTTGTATATATTTTAATTGGTTATATTTATTATTATTTTGATGTATTATATTTATTAGTAATTAATTTACTATTATTTATTTATTTATTAAATATGTGATTTATTACATATTTATTTTTCATTTCATTTATTATGTTATTTAACACATTTTTTATTTGTGATATTAACATCTTCCCCACCTCCCCTTAGTGTGATCATCATAGACGAGGCCCACGAGCGCACGCTGCACACGGACATCCTGTTCGGGCTGATCAAAGACATCGCCCGGTTCCGCGCGGACCTGAAGGTCCTGGTGGCGAGCGCCACGCTGGACACCGAGCGTTTCTCCTGCTTCTTCGACGAGGCGCCAGTCTTCCGGATCCCCGGGCGCCGCTTCCCCGTCGACATCTTCTACACCAAGGTGAGATAAACAAGGGTGTGCATAAATTACTTCTAAACTCTATTCCCTATTATGTGCCACGTTTCAAATGCAAATAGTCATTTATTGTTTTATATTTTTTACACATTTTTTACAGTCATTCAATATTTTATTTTATTATTTATTATTATTATTATTATTATTTATTTTATTTTATTCTATATTTTTATATTTTTATTTCTACATTGTATGTCGTTTCTTGTTTCTCATAGAAGTGTTGTGCACCCAACACCAAATCAAATTCCTTGTAGGTGAAAAACCTACTTGGCAATAAACCTAATTCTGATTCTGATTCTGATTCTGATTTGCACATTCGGATCTATATTTTTAAAGATTGTTCATTTGTACATTCAGATCTATATTTTTAAAGATTGTATTTTTCAGTTTTATCATTTCTGTCCTATATTTTTATTTCTACATTTTATTTCTTGCTTCTCATAGAAGTCAAGTCAAGTCAAGTCAAACTTTATTTATATAGCACATTTAAAATAACCAAGGTTGCCAAAGTGCTGTACATAAAAAGCAATGTATATGTGATTTTAATGTAAAAAATAACTAAATAAATAAATAAATAAGATAAATAAAAAAGTAAAGAGGTGCTCTACCTCAACCTAAGGTTAAAATGTTAAAAGCCAAGTCGAATAAATGGGTTTTTAAACAGGACTTAAACTCTTCTATGGTCTGGGCAGCTCTTATGTTAAAAGGCTATTCCAGAGCTTTGGGGCCACACTAAAGGCTCGATCGCCTTTAGTCCTCAGCCTCGTTTGCGGTGTTGTGTTGTGTTGTGCACCAAACACCAAGGCAAATTCCTTGTAAGTCTAAAAACCTACTTGGCAATAAACCTGATACTGATTCTGATTCTTCTCCCCTTTTATCCCCCCCCTCCTGTTCTCAGGCTCCGGAGGCCGACTACCTGGAGGCGTGCGTGGTGTCCGTGCTGCAGATCCACGTCACCCAGCCCCCCGGGGACATCCTGGTCTTCCTCACCGGACAGGTGCTGCCACCCCACACCCTTATCCCTCATTTATTATCTTATATATACATATTTCTATTTGTTATATTTATTTTATTTATTTATTTATTTATTTATTTATTTATTTATTTATTTATTATATATACATGTTTTTATTGGTTATATTTATTTATTTTATTTATGTATTTTCTTATATATAGTTTAATTTGTTATATTTATTTTTATGTATTATATTTCTTAATTTACTATAATTTATTTACTATAATTTATTTGTATCTACTATTATTTATTTATATTTTTAATATTTTATTTATTATATATTTTTATTGATTTTATTTATTATTTTATTATTTATTTGTGATGTGTAATTATTTCTATTATTTATTATCTTATTTATTATACTTATATTTATTGTAGATTTTTATTTATTTTTATTTCAAATTATTTCAATTATTTATTCCATATTTGTATGCATTATTTTATTTTTATTATTATTTTTGTATTTTTATTTATTATAGTCATAGTTGTCAAATATTAAATTATTTAATTTTTATATGTATTAAAGAGCATTTCACATCCAAGGTTTTTGGATCTGCTGGGTTTTAGCTGTTTACTTTTAAGAAGGAGCACCATGCAAACAGCAGGTGGCGCTAAATGTCCTCTGAGGTCAGAAAATCCACCTTAAAAGCTTTTGACAGTGGAAAAAAAAAGAGGAAATGTGAGATTTTTGTCACCAGAAAACAAAAGAAAAGGTGTAGAAATGATCAACTGGACCGGATTTAAAAAATCAGAAATACTTTAATAATAATTAAAATATGATTTAAATTATTTTAAATATTAATTATTAATATTCAATATTAAATTAAATATTTGATAATTACAATTTAAATTTGATTAAATATTTAATAAGTACAATTTTAATTAAATTAAATATTTAAAAAATACAATTTTAATTAAATTAAATATTTAATAAGTACAATTTTAATTAAATTAAATATTTGATCATTACAATTTAAATTTAATTAAATATTTAATAATTGTTTTTTTAGTTTAATTAGATATTTAATAATTATTTAATTTGGGTCGGAGGCCGAGGG